TTAGTCAAGTGTGGTGTAATAGCAACGCTACCAGTCGAGGGCTGGCCACAGCCTGTCATATCTGAGACAGCTCGAACCGAGCTACTAGCGATAACCTAGTTCCAAGCCAGGAGGAACCTGCAGCAGCGTGTGGTACGTCTGTTGCTTATCAATAATTATGAAGAGGGGATGAGGCCATCGCATCCCTGAATGATGCTCTCCGGAGACCCCGTTAATGGATGGCCAGGCTTGTCCACTGGGATAAGCGGAGATAAGAAGTCATCAACAAGAGCATACTCAGTAGAAAAGAGGGGTACAGGCGAGAGATGCCGCGACAGCCGTTCAAACTGCCAATTCCTTGGTGGTGGGATGCAGAAGGCGCAATGATGGGTGGTGATGATGTGATCGGATCCCGTACCACGACAATGATGATGAGGGGAAGTGATCTTGGTATGCAATAAGCTCTGCATAGAAATATCATGCTTGAGCGCTGTAGAACCGGAAAAGACAGACATTATAGTCAGAATTCATAGTTCAACTGGATCATCATGGCTCCTGCTCCTATTGACCCCAGAATAGTTGATGTTGCGGAACCTTTGAAGCAAACGCTTCCGCTTCCACCAGCATCACGAAAGCGCCTCGAGAAGGCAGGTATCGACCTGTCCGAGGGATACCCTTACAGGCCGTCTCGTCCTTTGTACCTAGACGACGTCTACAAGATCCGCGATCATGACCGGGCCCATGTGGACCCAGGCACCCGCGCGGACCCAGAAAAGAAGGCACTCTTGTCTGCAGCCAAAGAAGTCATCCATCTGACCCGACACATTGGCACGGAGATTGTGGGACTACAGTTGAAAGACCTGACGGACCAGCAGAAGGATGAGCTGGGCTTGTTGATCGCTGAACGGAGCGTTGTCTTCTTCAGGGACCAGGATATCTCTCCCCAGCAGCAGAAAGAGCTTGGCGAATGGTTTGGCGAGATCGAGGTCCATGTAAGCCCATTATGCCTCTCCATGTCAGTATCTAGTGGACTGACTGAGTCGCGTCTTTGTACAGCCACAAGTTCCCCAAGTACCTGGCGTCGCCGGAGTGACAGTTATCTGGCCAGCTCTGCAGGCAACGGAGACTCCTGCTAACTTCCGTCGCCCTGGAGGAGCCTCACGTTGGCACACTGATCTCGTACATGAACGTCAGCCTGCAGGTGTAACACATTTGCATAACGACACCATCCCCAGCATTGGCGGAGATACGCTCTGGGCCAGTGGCTACGCGGCCTACGAGAAGCTGTCGCCTGCGTTTCGTAAGATGATCGATGGTAAAACTGCCATCTACCGATCCAGCCACCCGTATCTTGATCGCGCCCATCCAGAAGAAGGCCCGAAATACGTCGAGCGTGAGCATCCCCTTGTCCGCGTTCACCCTGCCACAGGTTGGAAAGCGCTATGGGTGAACCGAGCCATGACCGACCGCATTGTTGGTCTTGACAAGGCGGAGAGTGATGTTATCTTGGGGTATTTGTGCGATGTATATGAGAAGAACATTGATATCCAGGTTCGCTTCAAATGGAGCCCTGGGACAAGCGCACTATGGGATAACCGGTCAGTCACTTTGCATCTTAAGAGCTCTCGAAAGGTTCTGACGTATGATAGTATTACCATCCACAATGCCAGCTGGGACTATGAAGGATCTGAGCCTAGACATGGTACCAGAGTCACGGCGCTTGCGGAGAAGCCGTACTTTGATCCTAATGCTCCGACTAGAAGGGAAGCTCTGGGACTGCTTGATCGTGCTGAAAAGGAAGAGTTGGCACGAGCAAACTGAGATTGGAACAGCAACTTTCGACTATGATCAAATGTGTGGCTTTGGGCAATTGAACGCGACACTGTTTGCTACGTTTGTGATATACCGCGTGACCCCGACTCACATGATAGCATTTACTACCAGTCGTAGTCTCTACAAGTCAAAATCACTCTGCTACATCCATTGCTTTTTAAGCCTCGTTGTATTCTTCTCTGCTTAGGCTCAAGCCATCTTATTTTCTAGGGGTCCATAAGTCGGGGCGCAATACATACTATATGTTGCCGTCACCAAGGGTTGCTCGCGAACTATGCAAAGTGCTACTATAATTGGGCCACTGTTGCCCAAGGAAGTCCCATGTTTCGGCATTTACAAAGGACTTGTCTCCTACGAATCGCCTAAAGGTGACATAAAGGAACTCGGCGGTGAACACCTGACTTACTGTGTATGCCAACACTCCTTCGCGTCCAGTTTCATTCGGTCGCGCACTGGTGTTATTGATGGCTCCGTGTGGTAGGGAACTGATTCCATTGTCGGTGGCTAATGTGCCACTATCCAGTAATCTGGGCTATTTATAGTCGCAAATCATATGGTGTGGGTGAATCTCACTTCCGTTGGAGAATATACATCCAGTGGAAAACCTCAGGCGCGTAAGCAAATGACGAAGTCTCTCCTTGGAGTGCTTTGAAAGGCGTCCGGGAAACGACGGTCCAGTATTGGGCCATATGAGAGAGGTTATCGAAGCGCATGGTCGAGTAGGAGAGAGTGACCCAGAGGGCCCCTTTCTGCACCAGAGGTGCGAGGTGTAGCCCCAATAGCTCCACAGGAGACAACTCTATCGCTCCATGTTTATCCACGATCTCTTGTACCGTCGGGCATGTACTCGACGCGTCGGAAGCTAAAGGGAAGGTAACGGACGTGGATGTTGCAATCGCATCGCTTGTGCTTTTGTCGAGAATGACGTCGAAGGGCGAGGAAAGAGCTAACCTAGAGACATCAGCCCAGGACCGCAAGTTAGCTTGCACCCAGCCCATCGCATGTGAAGGATCCCTTTTGCTCTCTGTCTCTTGTCCAAGGCGAACGGCTTCGGCGGAAAAGTCCACGTTCTATCGCAAAGATGAGTAAGTAATGTTCCAATGGCTCAATGCGCTATCACGTCAAGCACGCACCACGATGCCATTTCCGGCCCAGTTGCGCTTAATGAATTCATCGCAAAGTTTAACTCCCAGCTTCGAGATGCCTGGCCCCAGATGGAGCACTCTTGGGTTCGTTGCCGAGCGGCTCTCCAGGTGAGATACTACCGCATCGATGAGCATTTCTCCCGAATTCAGCCACTCCCCGACATCCCGACCAGTGGCAAACTTCGTATCCCAGAAGGTCGGATCATCATAGTCGGGGGTGCCTGTTATTTTGGTGTAAGTTCTCACATTTGGCGGGGCAGCCATGGTGTGCGAGAAGAGAGGTTTGACGGTCGGCCAAACTTTGTTTGAAACGGACTGCGGTCACGTGAATGCTATCTTATCTCGGCATTGGCATATGATGGATTTGACATTCGAACATCAAGCATTAGAGTTGTTTGATAAGCGTTGGCTGATCTTTTTCACAGACAAAGCTGTACTCAATGCAGGATTCATAATGGACTACCGAAAAACGTTTATTTAAACCGAGGAGTGCTGGCAGAGATTGGAAAGATCGTGCACATGGAGCCAATCCACTGGTATTCGAGCGCATAGCTTTACTAACTATCAATATGAGACTATTCAGACTCTCCTTCAAGACCTGCCTTGTCGTTTCCAGTTGCGCAAGCTTACTCACAGTATCTACGTTAGCGAAGTGTGGTTTAGTCGCCCTTCACACTATGGATACTTCCATACATTTCTGTCGCAGGCATCATGAGTATTACAGATGGATAGCATCTTATGAATTTGTGTGAGAGGAGAGGACTGAGAATCCATCTGTGACAATTGAAAGTCATTCACTAAGGATGCTAGAAACATACACTTCTGTCGAGTTGCAAGTTTCAAGGGACCCCTAATTTGCGGTCCTTGAAATATCGACACATGGATAAGGCTTTTCTTGGGAGCAAATTCCAGCCGCTTTTCCGATAAATCCTAGGAGACCTAGCTTGGAGCTCTCTACTAAGCAACTTTCAGTTAAGTGGCGGCATGAATTACACATGAGACTTTCATCCCATCCTTGCATAAGTGAAGACGTCAGCGTGCAATGGCTCTGCAGTTGCGGGGAAGGAGCTGGAATGAAGTAAATTCACCACTCGCATGCTGTTAATTCCGCCGGCGCAGTTGCCATACATGTCCCATCCCAAGTGATCGCCGTGTGCTTTGTACATCTACATACGAGGAAAGAATCTACAGTGTGAGCTTCTCGCATCAGGCCATCTGCACGCGCGGTGCTCGTCAATATGTCTGCATTTATCGCGGGGAAACATACCCTACCGTAGGCAAGATGCAAGCATTGCTGCCATGGCATGGTCAAACTTACGGCCTGACTCTGTTCATGGTACTCAACGCCTCTCATGAAACCGGCAAGTCAATCTACCGGTGTCTACAGATCCCAATCTCGGTGTCATATATTGAACTCAATCAGACGATTATAGTTTTGTTCCCTAGTGCCAGTCAGCAATTGTCTATGTGCCTACTCGGTATAGGCTGATCTGTAGAGATACAACACAGTCCTTCACGGTACTTCTGCTTGGGCTACAGCGAGGCCCTAATTACTGACAACGCCACCCTCATCCCAGCCCATGTGAAGAACATCCTATCACATCGAAAAGCGCCCAGTCTGCGACAGATGTACCTGTGAAGTACTCGATCGCTTGGTCGGTATTGCATGCCGTACTTGGTGATAGCTCACGCCCGTTCCAGGGGCGAGAGAGCGCCAACACCGGACAGGCCCAACGATGACCTCCAATCACCACCCTCCAGAATGTAACCTACGAGACACGGATCAACAAAGACAGGGATGACGAGAGGTCGAGCCAGCTGTTACTGTATTGCAGCTTCTCATCTGGTGACTACCCCGCATCCGGGTTACGAGGAAGAGCATATAAACCTTGTGTCACCCGGCCAGACAATAGAGGGCAATACCCTTCCAACTCACCTGTGTTCTCATCAATATCAGGATCAAGAAATCTCGTTCTCTCATTGTCTCTGCTGTAACTACCCTTCCATTATCAAAAGAAACTACAAGTATATCGACTATACAAGATGTCGACCCCTGCTATTCAAGGTCTCTCATCTGTGGGCTCGTCTGTCGGTGCATACTCTAGACAGCAGCTGGCCACTTTGAGAAACAGATTCTTGACTACAGGTAGGTTTTTCCATCATAGCAGGAGGAGTATGGTAAGAAGAAAGCTATTCTAATAGCCCGTTCAGAGAAGCGCAGGAGAAGGGCACAGCTCATCTCAACCTCGTTTAGCGTCCACAAGCCGGTCTGGATTGCTGCAGGGGGCGCCGCTTACACGACGATGGGCGCGGTCTATCTGACGCTACGCTACATGCGTCGCTTGAAATAAAGTCCACCTCCTCCGCGAGCGAGTGAGCGAGCGTGTCTGGTTACCGCTATTGGTGCTTTGAAAGCCACGAAATAGAGGAGGGGACTTGTCAGAGACAGCGATCTACATCCTCATTATTACCGACCATTCATTTCACATCATTTCATTATTTTTTTATTCTCGATTTTATTTGGGTTACCCTCTAGGGTCAGGTACTTTGGACGGCACGGGATGGAATATGCAACAAGGAGGGAATGGAATCATGACATGACGGGAGTTTTACGCGTTTTGGGTTGCATTGGACCAATATTCATCATGTATTTAACAAACATACAAACACCAACGGCACCAAGAAATGATCATAAATACGAGAAACAATTACAATAACTTGATGCATCAATAGTGAGGGGCAGACACTTCTAATCCCTGTTGTGTCTTTTTCATTAGTTTATTACCTGTTGGCCAGGGGTGGTGGCACTCGTGTGATCATCCTTTCTTCTCTTTCACTGGAGTGTCTCTGGCTGCCTGTCTGTCTGCCGTGTATTAATACCAGCTGCACAATAATGCAGCACACGCGACAGGGGTAGTAGTCAGTCAGTCAGTCAGTCAGTCAATTAATACAGTAAAGTAAGTAATCTACATCAAACCCATTGGATCACACCACGCTGCGTCAGCGGCTGTCCTCATACCACAGTACTACCTCTGAAGTACATTCTGTCTGCGGTGGTGGTCTGATCACATTCATCTATCCTCATCCCCTACTTTGTGAAGTTGAGTCCTCTCATCGCAGATTTCATAGTAGCTAGCCCTTATCCACAATAACTTCTTAGTATATCCATATACTACTACTCCCCCCACAAGAGCTTAAGCACCCACTCCTCACACTCCACGGGTACCTAGTACTACTAAGTACCCGTCATGGCAAAAGTGGGCCACAACAACTACTTACCCCAGATTTCCACCAATTTATTAAAGTTTCCCTTTCGTCGCCATCCTCCGACCCATCCGTACTAGTAACCTTCAAAACTAGGGATGACATCCGTGAGGACAGAACAAACACCGTCAGTCATGGAGGAGGGGGGTTGGGTCACCCGATCATTGGATGGGAAAAGCAGCGGTGGCTTTGTTCTGGCGATGCAGTAGGTACTAGACTTCGACTTACCCCGCCCGACGTTGACCAGTCAGAAGTGGTGGGAATGGGCTGTGAAAGGTTAGTTGTTGTTGCATGATCATCCCCCCGGATCCTTGGCACCCCCGCAACCCAACCGCCCATGGAATGCTGAATGCTGAATGCTGAGCTGGACTGGACTGTTGCCTTGACTGGTCTGGTCTAGTCTGGTCTGGTTTGGGGTGGCTATGTCGGTAGTACTGCAGAGGTACTTCGTGGGTACTTCAGGTGGAGTTCGGCTAGGGGGGAGGGGCCGGTATCTACCTAATTTTATTGCAGGTTGGTTGCCACTCTTAGGAGCTTGGGTGGTAAATGGGGGGCGTTGCGGGTTGGCTTCATGGGGAATATATTGCTTGGTGCTGATCACTTGTGCTGCGGACTACCGTGTTGGGCTGGGTTGCTGGGGTAGTGAATGCTCAGAAATTATGAAGGTAGCCTGTATGAAGTCGAGAATAGACAGTAGTAGACAAATAAACCGATAGTTACACCTCCGACCGATGAATATTGTTGTGTTTCACAAGGATCATGAATACGGACATATGCAGTTGCAGTATTACAAAGGGTCATATAGCCATTATTTACCCAGACTTTCAACAGCAAGGCCTGCTGGCCCAATGGTAAGGCGCTTGACTACGGATCAAGAGATTGCAGGTTCGAATCCTGCGTAGGTCATTCTTTTTGATTTTGCTTTTTTGTATCCTCGGTCTTCCCGCTTCCGGATCCACCTGTTGCTGAACACCAGCAGCCATAGCAGCGGTCGCACTTTTGCTTCGTCTAGATTATTGCATCGGTTTGTTGATTATTTGCTTGTATTTCCTAGTACTCACCCACTTTTGATAATAATGCCGATGATTGAGTGATGTCCCAGCCTGAAGAATGCTCGTCTAATCATAACCTCGCCCTAGTGGTATATCCCTGCCGTTATTGAAATATGTACTTCGTCTACCTACTGTCATTGAATCTTCTGTCTATAGTCCATATGGATTCACCGATCACTGCGATGATACGCCCCTAGGGGTATCTTGGTTGAACTCCTTGACTAATAGGCATTAGTCCCATGCTACATTGGGAACCACGAAATCACTCTACCATATAGCTGGAGAGGGAATCCTGCAAATATAAACCGAGCAACCATCATCGGTGTCTACATTGCAAGTATGAAACAGCCACTGATGGCCCTTTACAGAGACCAGAGGGCTTTGTCGAGTCGCTGCTCTCCATCTATCATCGGCAGAACTAGCTACAACTGGCTGAACAAGCAGATATTGAACGTCTTGCATGTCATAGGGTTCCTAAGCATGAGAAGCATGATGTTCCGTTTCCTCCAGGAAGGTCTTAGGGTTGAATGCTGGTAAGCACTAATGACGAAGCATTTGGTGAGTATGACCCTGACTTGTATTCAGATGACTTGTAACAGACCTGGACAATCTAGAGCCTCAGTCAAAGGCGCCCTTCATCGCAATGATCCTATTTGTTTCCAACCAAGCCAGTGATTGAGGAGATTCAATCAGTGACTACGTAAATAACCCTTCTCCATTGCAATATATGTCCTCCTACTCGGCGAAGCTCGCAGTCTACTCAAGAGTATTGGGAACGCCCTCTAATGGCCTGGCTGTTCTAAGGCTACCATTCCGGGATACTATGCTAATAATCTACACCATCCGTCCTCCTTCGAGGGATCTTATGAACATCTCCTACATCGGAAAGCTGTCACACCAAACAGCAGATCGGCAAGCCCTATCACACTGTATTTGATCTACACAGCGAAATTGTGAGCATAATGGTCTCGAGCAGCATAATATGCAGCCCACAATTCAATTCATAGGGCAATAGTAGTATTCTTGTCTCGGTAACAATGGAACCTGGGATGTCGACACCTATATAAAAGTAATAATAGGGTATATTGATGGAGAGAGAAGAAAGAACATAGACGCTATCCCAGCTAACTGAGATAGACTCAAACCTGCACGTAAAAACAGAGGTACTGCTAAAGCCCGAGCACTGGACCTCCACTCCACTAAAAGAAACAAGTCGGGGTAAACACCCTTCTCAGTCCAGATGATCATCATCAAGGAAACAAGTCCGAGTTGAATCGGAGAGTTATCCGCATGACTATATCTTCCTCAATATACTACTAATCAATGCAATTCCAATCTCTCGGTTCCTCCAGTCCTCTCCAATACTCCAACTTCAACTAATTACTCAATATCACCACCAATACAACAATTGCAACATGCCCAAGCCAATAATCCTCCACCTCGGCGACCCCATCGCCTACAACCACGACCTCTACAACGGGCCCCTCTCCACCCGCTTCACCATCATCCAGGACACCTCCCCGACGCGAGAAGCTTTTATCGAGGCCTTAAAGACCAACAAGTATACACTTTCCCCTCTCCTCCACCCCCAAAAACGAAGTTTTACTAACAAACCCCCCAGATACGGCCCCATCACCGCCCTTCTCCGCCCGCACTTCTCCTCCGGCAAAACCATGTCCCCCTGGGACACCGAACTGATCTCGCTCCTCCCACCGGGCGTAAAGATCTTCGCCTCCGCCGGCGCAGGCTACAATGACATTCACATCCCATCCCTCACAGCCCGGGGAATATACTACACGAACGGGGCGGGCGCGTCCGACGAAGCCGTCGCCGACACAACACTGTACATGATCCTGAGCGTATTCCGAAACTTTACTGCGTCTCAGATGGCGGCGCGGTCCGGGGATGTGGAGAAGTTCATGGACTGTCATCGGAATTTGGCGGACGTGTCGGTGAATCCGAGGGGGAAGGTGTTGGGGCTTATTGGGCTGGGGAGGATAGGGAGTGAGGTGGTGAGGAAGGTGAGGGGGGCGTTGGGGATGGAGGTGGTTTATTATGATGCGGTGAGGGTTGAGGAGAGTAGGGAGAGGGAGTTGGGGGTGAGATGGGGGGGTGGGGTGAGGGGCGTGTTGGAGGAAGCGGATTGTGTGTCGGTGCATTGTCCGTTGACGGAGGAGACGAGGGGGTTGATTGATGGGGAGAAGATTGGGTGGATGAAGGAGGGGGTGAGGATTGTTAATGTGGCGAGGGGGGGTGTGGTGGTTGAGGAGGACTTGGTGGAGGGATTGAGGTCTGGGAAGGTGGCTGCTGCTGCGTTGGATGTTCATGAGTTTGAGCCCGTTGTTGATGCTAGGTTGAGGAGTATGGAGAATGTTACTCTTACGACGCATATTGGGGGTGGGGCGGTGGAGACTAGGATTGGGTTTGAGAGGTTGGCGATGGAGAATATTTTGAAGGTGATTGGGGATGATGGGGAGGTTGTCGGGGAGCCGCTTACGGCTGTTAATGGGGAGGAGGTTAGGGAGGTGTGGGAGAGGATGAGGAGGAAGTAGTATTGTGGGAGTATATGGTTATGGTATGAGGTGTAGCTCTAGTTCAGATAGCTTCCTCCGGTTTCCTCGTGGATCAAATCGAACATTGGCTTCGCGCTGAAATACCCTGCCATTGGCGTGCCGACGGACTTGTATGTGAATGCTGCATCCGCTTCGTCTACCTTGACGGTCTGTCCACCCCGGCCTGCGGCTGCGGCGTCGGCCATGAGCTGCACGTAGCAGCACTTCTCCAGACTCACGAACCAGAATACAGTTTCCTCGATGGACTGTCCTACTGTCAGAAGGCCGTGGTTCTGCAGCAGTGCGGCCTTCTTGGTGCCTAGGGCTTGAGCGATGCTCTTCCCTTCTTCTTCGGCAAGCACGATGCCGTTGAATTGATTGTACAGGACAATGTCCTGCTCTGGTTAGTTGTAGGTTCTGTAGCTAGAGGGTGCCACTGACATTGTAGAATGCGCACGCATCCTGCGTGATGATATCCAGCGG